GGGGGGGTGGGAGGCCGAGTGGATGGGGGGGGGTCCCTCCTCGAGTAATTTGAACCCCCGCTCTCTTCCCCCTCCCCCGACGGCGTTGGTGTCCTAACGCCAATGGCGGCTCCCCGCACAGTTATGTTGTCACCAGCTTCAAGAGGGGATTGGATAAACGTATGGAGTAGAGACCCACCAGTGGCAATCAGCCAGCAGGTATAGAAGAAGAGAAGAGATTGGATTTATACCCCGCCCTTCACTACCCGAAGGCGGCTTACAAACTCCTTTCCCTTCCCCTCCCCACAACAGACACCCTGTGAGGTAGGTGGGGCTGAGAGAGCTCTGACAGAAACTGCCCTTTCCCCCCCCAAGAACAGCTCTTGTCAGAACTATGGCTTGTCCAAGGTCACATCAGCAGGTGCAAGTGGAGGAGTGGGGAATCAAACCCGGTTCTCCCAAATTAGAGTCCAGGCACTTAACCACTACACCAAACTGGTATAGAGGGAACACTCTGTCTGGGGCAGTGATGCTCTGTGTTTTTGGTGCTTGGGGGGGGGACAGTGGGAGGGCTTCTGGGGTTCTGTCCCCACTGGTGGACCTCCTGATGGCACCTGGGTATTGGCCGCTCTGTGACACAGAGTGTTCAACTGGGGATGGGCCACTGGCTTGATCCAACATGGCTTCTCTTATGTTCTTAACAATTATTTTCTTCACCCATTCAGTCTGCGGAGGGAGTGGGGGCGGGTTGGAATTGTATTCTGCTTTTTTGGGTTCACACGGACCTAGATGGAAGGAACAGATATAAAATGAGGCCTTTTCACATAGTCATTTGACTTCAGTGTGTCCTTTAACAATCCATGTTTCTTCTATTTTTGACATTGGTGCTTTCTGTTGAAAAGAGGCTCTGTCCTTCTCCCCTTAAGGAAGCATAAGGAAGTTAGGTGGCAATGCTATGTTCATGTGTCAACTGGCAGGTTGTGGCGTCTTGCATCCCTTGGACAAAATTTGAGTCCAGTGGTACCTTTAAGACAAAAAAAGATTTATTCACAATATAAGCTTTTGTGTGCAAGCACACTTCCTCAGATACAGTGAAACAGAACCTTCTCAGCTATTATTTATAGGGGGTTGTTGTTGTCAGGAAGGCCATTTAGAGTCAAGATGCATAAGTACTGGATAAGTTTGTCCCCTTGATTGTGGCTTCAGTGAGAAAACATCATTCACAAGTGTATCTTCCTGTGTGGATGTGACAATCCAGTGGCTATAGCACAATATCCAGTGATGTGTGGATGCACCCCTTGTACCTGATAGTCCAGTTGCAGCAAAATAGGCCTCTTCTGAAGATGAGTAAAAGGTATATGCAATGGGCATATGGAAATAACAAATCATGGGGTTGGGCTTCTGTTCTCTGGGGAGGTATTTAGATAGTTATATACAGGGGTCATTTCGTAGAAAAAGAGCTAGGGGAACTCATTAGCATAACTCATTAGCATATGCCACACACCCTGACATCACTGAAAGTGTGTCATAAGGCCACACCCCCTAACATCACCGGACGTGTGTCATAAGGCCACACACCCCGCCCCCAACGGTCCCGGCCGCCACCACCGGCCTTGCAGCTCCACTGCCGAGCTCCATGAGGGGCCCGGCGGTGGACCTGCAAGGCCGGCGGGAGTGCAAGGAAGTCCCGCGAAGGCCCTCCCTGGCCCCAGGCAGGCAGGGGTGGGGAAAGGCAGGGAGGAAGCAACTTACCCTCCCTCTTCTCCTGCCTCCTCCTGGCTGAATGAGGGCCGGAAGCAGGGGGCAGCCGGAAGCAGGGGGCGGGGCTTTGTCATGTGCCCCGCCCCCCGTACCTCACCCGGGGGAACTGCGATCCCCCGCGATCCCCCCCGAAATGACCTCTGGTTATATATAAGTTTGTTAGGTCTTTCACCATAAAGATTCCATGCTGTAACTTGGCTTGCAGCTCTCAATGGCCTCAGGGGAGCTTACTTGCTTCATCTCGACTGTGTGAGAGAGCGACTCTCTTGAATGATTTTTAAAATTTATATGTATCTTTTCTTTTCAAGGAGTTGACATAAATGGCTTTCTTCCCCATTTTATCCTCATGACGGCCCTGATACATTGCGGTTAGTCCAGTAGGCTTCATGGCTGAAGCAGTGTAGTAGGGATTGAGCCTGGATCTCCCCAGTCCAATGCTCTAACCAGACAGGATCTTTTATGGATATAATTTATGATGTTTAGATAGGAGTTAAACAGTTGAGCACTAGACACAATTGAGGTACCTGTAAGTTAAAGCAGAGGTGTCAAACTCATTTGTTACAAGGGCCAGGTCTAACATAAATTACACTTTGTTGAGCCGGGCCATGTGTGCCATAAAATGTAATGCCAGGCACTGGAGATATTTTACCACTGACTGTGACCCGCACTCCTCCTCAACACCTAACTAATCACCGCTTGCTCATATGCACATGAAGTTTTGCACAGCACAGAGAGCTACTGCCTGACACTCAAGGTGGCAGAGGCAGGAGCCCAACGTGCTTGGCCGGAGGTGGCACCTGGCCCAGCACCTCGGCTGGGGCAGTAGGCAGGCCCCAAGGGGACTAGCTGTGCAGAGCTTGGGGCCAGCCCAGCCCTCCTCGCCCCTTATGGTTGCCAGCTGCAGGTTGGGCAATCCCTGGATATCTGAGGGAAGACCCTAGGGAGGGCCCATGTTTGGGTAAGGGAGGGGCCTTAGCAAGGGGTATAATACCATAATATAGGCCCTTCTGGTTCACATTTGGACTGGTTTCTCCCCAGGTGTCCATGGGCCGGATAAGAACCCTAAATGGGCTGGTTCTAGCCCCCAGGCTGTGTGTTTGGCTGTAGGCAAAGGATGAGGCCAATGTACTGTCTTACTGTTCCCTATTTACATTGATCCTATGTAATGTGCATGTCATGTTGACAGAGCTACTGTCTTCCGTGGCATGGATGCAGAGACAGAAAGATGAAGTGAATTGTTTAGAAACTGGGTGAAGTGGGGATTGGGAAAGGAAATAGATTCATAGGGAGCTTTACTAGTCAGTTTTAAATTCCCATGGAGGTGATACAGAATAGGGCTTTGCTTGATTTGCAAGACTAACTGACCAATATTCAACTTCTGTCTTAACTGTTCCTGTTTCCTGTACTGTTTTGGTTGTCCTAGTTCGTTTTCCTTCTGTGTGCATTGTCTTCTGCCCTCATTTATACACACACAGACACATGCATACACAAAGTAATGTACAGATAGGGCATTTATATCAGTGGTACTCACTCCATGGCTCATGGAGAGCCACACTTGCAATTACTATCAACCAAAGAGCCACATTTATGTCCAGCCCTGGCATGATGCCTGCTCCTCAGGGAGGCTTACAGCCTGCCCGATGAGGAATGGGGGAGCTGTTTCAGGATGGGAGGGACCAACTGCTAATTACAGGCCCCACCAGGAAAGGACCTTGCCCACTTTCCTAAAACATGGGGGCAGGTGCCACATTGGGGAATGGTGCTCGGAGGAACTATGTGTGGCATGTCAAAGAGCCACAGGTGGCTTCTGAGTCACTGAGTATCACTGATATATATATATTTTAAAAGTTTTGAAAATAGTATCCAGCATTTGAGTGTACATGGATCTGGGAGGCTTTTTTGTTTTTCCTTCATGCTTTTCTCAGTAGGGCCTGTTTTGAGCAATGCACATTCTTTAGTATAATTTTTGAATTTGAAGACAACAAGTTCTATAATTTTAAGATCAGGAAAGAGGTTTTCCATTGGATTTCCTCTGGCGGTCCAGTATTGTGGAATCTTCCAGCTTGTGTAAGGGGGTACTTCACACAGTTAAGACTTTCCTCTGTGGAAAATACATCCATATAGACTTTCACACAGTCTTTTGAGTACTGGGCATTGCTCTCTGCTGTTTTTAACTTGTCACTTTGTTGTTGCTGGAATTAGTATGACATGCCAATTAAAAAAAACACACACCAAAAGTTAAGTTTGCTTTCTTTCATAGATAAGTCTGCTGAATGGTAGTAAATAGGAGCTTGGCCTAGCTAATTAAATTTAGTGATTAAAATTAATTGATTAATAATGTATTCCTGGATCTGTATATGATAGTAGCTGATGTTTTTCCTGTTTTTGTTCTTTCCTAATTCTTCTACTTTAGGGAGCTGTTAGTGAGGTAAGGCTCACATTGTTATTTTAACTGTATGTTGTTTCCTCTAACTGACCATATATAGTTTTGTATTCCTTTCTGATCTATTTCATAATTATTATTATTCTATTAATTTTGCACAATCCTGGCTTTTGATCAGTAGCACTCAGGTGCTGCTGCTACCTCAAATCAGAAGAATCTAGAAATTTTCCCCTTTCCATGAAGGTAGACACTTTAAATATATATATTTATATATTTATATTATATATAATTTATATAATATACATAACATAAGCCATTATCAGGTTTATAAAATACAGACTGAAATAAATGTGTGTCTAGAATATATCTATTATGTTTTCAGTGGTCCACTAAAAAGAGTCCTGGAATGCATGACGTGCTTCATCTAACAAGAGTTTCTTATTTTCACTTTTTAAGTCCGTGTTAAAAAACCTAATGCAGCATATTCACTCTGATAAATTATAGCACATTATTTTTCTTTGGCTGTTTGGCTTGTGTAGCTAAGTATAAGATGTAACATTCCCTAAGTGCATGTTCTCTGAGTGCACAAGACAGCATGTGGAATGAAAGTGATTAGTAATCAGTGTTTGAACTTGCAGAATATTGCCGTACAACAATAATTGGTGGAGCTCTACCAGCATACAAAATGTGACCTAGTTCCATAAACTTTGTACAGTGTTCATAGAGAGGGAAGAACATCACCCGTTCTAATACTTTCACATCTGTATCTTAATTCTTTGCTTTTCTCTGTGCCGTAGATAGGCCTGTTCTGTGTACAAAAGACCCTAGTTTAATAATCCAGAAATACTTAATAGACCTGGTTTGTATTCACAAGTGCAGCAAGTGGCCACCTGAACACACACACAAACGTTTTTACTACATAAATTTTGAAAAATAGTAAGCCATTAAAAGCATATTAAGAAGTTATCAGTGCTAATTCGTGATGTTAAGGCCAAGAAAGCCATGTTACTGGTTTTATGCCATCTTTTGTCCTTTCCCTTACTGTGTTTGTCCCTTAACAACCCTTTAGCACAAACCCTTTCTATCTGCCTTCTTTAACTTCCTCTGGTCATCTGTTGCACATGTTGGTGTTTCTTCTGGCATATTTAAGCAGCACAGAAGCAACAGGGTGTTGGTTAAACTTTTATGGAATTACGGTAATCTGGAATAAGAAAAATTTATGCAGGCACAGCTAGGTTGAAAATTTTGGATGTAATATGGATCAGGAAGACAGTGCATGGTATCTGGGACTGTGGAGTGGAGAGGAAAGGTTAGCAGACAACTGACTGGGCTAAAGTCCAGCTTGCTCCAGTTCTGTAATATTTTTACATGATGCCCATCAGATCCATGTCAAGCACACAGAGTTCTGTCTGTATGCATGATGTGAGTTCAAATGTCAGTGCAACTAAACCTGAACTGGCAAGCATAGAAAACTGTCATGTGTTTGTAGCAAACGTGGATTGACATGAGTCCAGCTGGAGGTTCCTCTGTGCCCTGCCCACAGAAGGAATAGCCTGGAACCTGGGCTGTGCCATCCACTCTCGGTGGTCTGAAAGGACAATCACGGTAACATTAATATATCCTGTCTGCCTAAAAGGAAGAGCAGGTTTCTGGGTGTCCCCCCCCCCCCCAATATGTGCTATCAAGATTAGAGAAGACTATCTTATGTTTGCATACAAGTTACATTTGTGTACAGTAATTAAAAATAATTCTATGTATAACCCTTTTTAGTGGGATTGTTTCATATTTGAAGTCATTGTCCTTTCGAGTAGATACAGTACTGTACCTTTATGATGCATTTGAATTATTTTGAGCTGCTTTAGGAGCCAAGCTTGGCTGAATGCAGGACTCACCAATTTACTTATGAGCCACCTATTTGTTCTAGACTGCCTGCATGGTAGAAGAGGTGTAAGTTATATACTTTTAAGCCTTCCTTTGGCTTTTTTAATGTAACAGGTTTATGTCCCATGTATCTGCAGTTCAAGGTAGCTTATGCCTAGTAGCAGTCACTCACAGAATGACTGAAAGGCAATATAGTCTTCATGGGCAATCTGCTTTGGAGGATGGGAGAGCACAACTTAGAAGGGCATGTGCTGTAGCTATCACTGTGCAGACTTGATAGGTAGAATGCACTGTCAGCAGGACTTATTGGACAGACTTTAACTGACTTCTGGGGAAAGCCTGTTCTTCACAAAATCCCGAAAGAAGAGAGTCCATGATGATGCTCAGTATATAACTTCTTTTTGTCTGTGAATGCCGTTTGTGGAATATATATTACAAACTTACAAATCATTTTAAATTATTTGGCATTGAAGTTGGAATGTTGTTTATCTTGCTGTGAATGCCTTTTTGAAATTTAAAAACCATCTGAACTTCTTTCCATCCCTTCCCTTTTTAATCAATAGGCTGCCCGTTTGGTGGTCGCATCTCGTAACTATGCAGATTTTGCAAATGAGGCTTCATTTGACATTAAGGTAAGCTACTTGGTTGTTTTACTTTATGCAATTAATGTTACATAGGTAAAGGGTAAAGGTTTCCCTTGCTTGAAAGCCAGTTGAATCCGACTCTAGGGATACGGTGTTCACCTGTGTTTCCAAGCCGAAGAGCCAGCGCTGTCCAAAGACATTTCCGTGGTCATGTGGCCGGCATGACATACAAGGCAGTATAAAGAATGGTGTTAACGGAGGGCTTTTCTTTTGGGGGGGGAGGTGCTGGAACTCTAAAGAGCGAAATGTTTTCAATCTGTATACTGAAAACTCATGAACGTTTTAAAAATAATTTTGTCAAAGAGGTTCTGGCACATTCCCCCAGAAAAAAAGCCCTGTTTAACCTATTTGCTGCTTGCAAAATATTGTATTGTATACAACCAAATCCTTCTACAACTGAATCTGCCCAGCCTTCAAAAGGCAATTTTTAAAAAATGTAAAGAGCTTTTACCTTTACATTTTCAAGTATTCTTAGAAATGCAGGCTAAATGGTCTTCATCAAGTTTAGTTTAGCATTCATTGTAGTTGACTGATCCTTTTTTTCTTATATGGATAAGACCTTCAGTATTTCTTAGTCCCCAGTAGTTAAATAAATTCAGCTTGTTCTTGGGTTAGCTTGAACAGCTTATGTATCAAACGTAAATATGATGGAAGGTGGACTATTGCTAAATGTACACTTGTGGACTACTGCAGTATATTTTTTCTTTGTGAATGCTAAGCCCTGCCTGTATGAGGCACACAGCTTCTGTGTGCAGGATCGTGCAATAAAAGAACAGCCTTTGTTGCAGTGGTTTTCAGTAGCAGTCAGCCAGATGTGGCCAGGAAACCCACAATCCTGGCAGTAGAAGTCATGGACCTTCCCCGCTAATTTGTCTAGTCTCCTTTTAAAAAAAGACTAAGCCAGTGGCCACTACTTGTTTTGGTGCAGTGAAATGAACAAGCTAATCATATGTAGTGTGAAGAATTACTTTCTTTTGTTTGTCCAGAATCTACCTTCAAATATTAATTGTGTGCTCTTGGGGGGGGGGGGGACTAAATTCACTTGCTTTACAGAGTGCATGCTTTTATAAACCTCTGTTATGTTGCCCTTTAGTCGACTTTTTTCCTAAACTAGAAAGTCTCAAAAGCTGAAACTCTTTCTTGTAGGGAAGGTGATTCAGTGCCAGATCTAAGGAGCAGGGACTTCCTGCTCTTATCTTGTGGACACTGAAGATATCCATCTTGGCTCATCAAATCCAGAAAGGAATCTGGTATATCCAGCCAGTGAAAACGATGCTTATTGCCATGGCAGGTTCAGGGTGGCAAGTAACCATGAAACTGCAGTTTTTTCATATTACAACCGGTCCTTTATAGACACAGTGGTCAGAAGCCTAGGAATGCTGTGAGATGTGTAAAGAGGTGCTACATTCTGATTTCCTTAAGGTCTAGTCTGCATCTAGTAAATATTAAACTTTTAAGTGCTTGTAGTAGAGTAAAGCTACATATTATGTGGGAGACGTGTTTGGATCTCCTGAGGTTTGCTTTATTTATTTATTTATTTCTAACTGACACTATGTGTGCATGTGTGTGTATTGGATTTGGTGCTGCAGTGGGGTGGTGGGGATTTAACCTTTCAGCCACTCCAATACCTTGTCCTCACTACAGATTCACCTGTCCTACCCCGAGTTGCTATCGGCCATAATATTGTATCTGCCTTTTCTCCCTGTCAGGCCAAGAGGAACTTTTATACAAAAATTCTTTGTACTAAAAGATTGGAAGGGACTGTTTGTCATGGTTTTATTTAGGATTGCATTTGATTAAAGCAGTCCTAAACTGTGATTTCAAATTTTGGTTTTATGTATTTTTATGTATTCTATTTTATGTATTTTGTTTCTCCTGTAAGCTGCCTTGAGCTCTGTAAGGAAGAAAGGTAGCTAATAAATGTTTTAAATAAATAAATATTTTCCCCTTCCAGAAATGTGATCTCCATCGCTTGGAGGAGGGTCCACCCACTACAGCAGTTATGACTCGAGAGCAAGGTCTGCAGTACTATAGGACTATGCAGACTATTCGGCGTATGGAGCTGAAAGCAGACCAGCTGTATAAACAGAAGATTATCCGTGGCTTCTGTCACTTGTATGATGGTCAGGTAGGTGACTGTGAAGGTTTATGCTCAAGATTTTAGATTTTCTTTATAATGAGAGCTTTTAAAACATCTTTACCAAGAATTGTATGCCTCCACACCACCTGTACAAAGACAGAAACTAGATGAAAGAGAAGAAATTTAGCAGTTCCAGACTCAATGTTCCCTCTAAGCTGTGGAGTCTTATGAGCAAAAATTATATTTTGTTAGCTACTGGCATTAAAGTTGTGAGCGAGCAATTTGGTTACTGCATAGATTAGTCTGCTCTGGAGCCATCCTTCCTGAGCTAAGACAAAAATGTGTGAGCAGGAGGCTAAAGAACTGTGAGCTAGCTCACACTAACTCAGCTTAGAGGGAACACTGGTTCCAGTACAGTAACCACACTTGGAATCACTGACGCAAGTTAATGTTTATCCTGCTCTTTTTTCCCTGTACCTTCACAGAATTAGCTACTACTGGTAGTTCCCTTTCAGGATCTTGCTACTGACATTCTCTGTGTCCATTAGCTTAGATCCAGTGGAAGTTTCTGCTGACAGACGGGACAGGTGACGTTTGTCAACTTCCCTGTCCTGCAGCAAATCTTCAGCTTTCTCATGTTGTCTGTGGGTTCCCTGAGCTCCCACATTTTGGGCTGTAGCAGGAGGGGAAGGTAGTGAAGTCCTATTCTGCTGACAGAAATCCATTCAATCAGCAGACTTGTTGTGTTGGATCCAACCCCATTATCACTTTAAGCTTAACAAGTGTACCCCAGCTATAGTCTGCAGTTTGTTTGGGACAGTGGCAGACACGCCAGGACAGGTGTGGACTCTTTCTGTGAGCTTGGTATTGGTCTGGTGTAGTGGTTAGACTAGGATTTAGGAGGCCCAGGTTCCAATCTCTGCTCTGGGAGCTTGCTTGGTGATGTTAGGCCAGACATGCCCTTTCAGCCTAATGTACTTTACAGGGTTGTTGTGAGGATAAAATGGAGGAGAGGAGACCAACATAAGCCAAGTTAGGTCTCCACTGGGGGAGGTAGGCAGGATGTAAATGAAGTAAATAAGTAGAAATGGAGCACAGGTGCCTCTGTATTTATCTAGTGGGTGTTAAGACCAATCTCTTCTTCCCTTCAACTTCATACACACCCAGTTTTCTGCCCTTCAAAGCATTATAGCTTCACCCTTCATACACCTCCCTTCCCGTTAGTGGAGTGTTTTCCACTTCTTTTCAGTCTGTGCTGTTCATTCTGGATTCCTTGAGAATACAGATTGAGGTGTTGCTATCAGGAGTAGCAAACTACTCTTGACAGAAGTCCTAACTAGGTAAACACAGCTAAGGAAAATGTGGACTCTATATCTTGAAAGTAACTAATCCTGGCACTTTATTTGACATAGTGCCAATAGAAAGTGTTGAAGACTAAAAGGAAGAATAAAATGGAGCTACAAATACTGTAGAGATTCACTGAAGACACTGCTAACAAAACAACAGAAAAACAAATTGATAAATGGTAGCAAAGGGATAAAAGCATATGGTTACATGGAAATATAATGGAATTTAATCCCTAGACATCCTCCAGCCCATTCTAATTTAAATATAGGTTATTTTAAATTATTCTGGTAAAGCCAGTTATCTATCAGAGGCTCAGGTCTGAGTTGACACCCCCCCCCAAGACTCTTTACTTCAGGCACCCTAATCAGCTTCCGCAGACCCATCCAACATTCTGGTTTTTATTAATTTTCCTTTATTAGGGTGAAGACAGAGGTATAAACTCCATTTTAGCTTATTTTAATGCCCAGTCTATTTCCCAATGGGATAAAAATTAATGTTTTCATAATATCCTTGATATTACCCAAACTGCTGCCACCATGTGTCTTCCGAT